CTGCTCACATGGTATCTTTTAGTGATTGAACTGTATTTGCCCTGAACTGCTAGTTTATGTGCAGGTTAATCTACTTTATTAGTCAATATTGGCTCACCTAAAAATGACTTAAAAGTAGAGATACATAACCAAGACAAACAGCAGTGGCAGTGGACCCTTGGCACTCACTGTGTTTTCTTCCTCTGAGTGTTCAGGAGCATGGGAACTGATTTTCTCAAGATGTGAACACGTGATTTGGCCTGTACCTGTTGGTATCCAACATCTCTGGAGAAAAAAAATGCTGAGGTTTTAAGAGGGTAGTTGCAGTGGGTTTTACTGATGAAGGTGATGTGGTTCTTCTCTGGAGTACAGTAACTTTCCTGTTCTCTGTAGGATAGAGGTTCTCAAGATCAAATTGTGCCTTTAATTAAAATGTATTTATTCCTGAGGGATAGGACCACGTGACTGCTTTCATGATCTTGTAATACCTTGTAGTAACTGAAAGATCTGTTTAATCTGACTTTGCTTTATGTATTTTACAAATGTAGGCTTTTAAAGGGCTGAGAATCATTAATTGTAATTTGTTTCTTGGAGGGTATGTTTGAGGTCCCTGAGTTGGTGCTCTCCTCATTCTCTGAAGTCACGTTCACTCACACCATCCTTATGAGATTTAGGTTCCCTTGGTTGTCTAATGAGTATCTTGGAAGTTTTGTTGTCATTCCATTCAGTACAAAGCTGTACAATCAGAGGGCTTTTTCCTCTTTTCTCTATTTGTAAGTTTGTGTCTGAACATGATTTTCAGGGAGGATGGAGTACGAGGGAGCTTTCAGCTGTTCTGTGGTGCATCTCGTCTGCTAGGGCTGAGGACAAGCCCAAAGCAGGTGACAATTGCAGACAGCACCATTTTGTATTGAACTGTCAGCATGAATCCAAGCAAAAGTGTCTGTGCATTGTTGAATTAAGTCTTGAAACTATATTTTGAGATAAAATCCATCTAAGATTTGCATGTACCGAAGAAACTAGATGGGCTGCCCTGGCAGTATAATGAGACTCTTGCAGTTCAGTGATACACAAAAGCAAGGGAGACATGTTGTGGAGCAAATTTCCAGATAATTTTGGCTATATTCAATCCTGTTTTTTCTTGAGATTTACATAAAAATAAACTGCATCATCCTTTTAAGGATACAGGTCAGGATGTTGGCGAGTTTGGTAAGCAGACTTAATGAAAATTAATTATTGGAGCTGTGTGTGCACATGTGCCAACAGATTGGCACCTTATCCCTTTACTCCTTCTTGCAACCCAGAGAATTTTTTAATTACTATTACTTTTATTTTTAAATCACCATTGCTGAAGAGCCAGAAGAGGCTGGAAGTATTACACATGTAGCATTTCGAAAAAGCATGAATGCTTACCTTTTTTTTTTGGTAGGTAGAAAAGGATCCTAGCTAGGAATATTCATTGCAGTATTTTGTTATATTTGCTTCTAGTACTCAGATAGGCTTTTTGTTAGTGTTTTACTGCATTCTTAAAGAGGGTAACAACAGAGATGCTTTCCTGGCTCCAAAAACATTGGTTGGCCAAGGTTGGCCTTGTGGTGAGCCCTTGCTGTTGTTAATTCCTGAGTGCAGGTATCTCACCCCTATTAACTGACCCCCTGCATCTTCCATCCCTCAGCCAGTTATTTCTCTCCTACAGTTTCCTTTCTGAGATGGCTTCTGTTTTTCCTGCCAATTTTCCTGTTTGCCTGAGATGCTCTATAACAACCAAACTTGTCCTTGCAGGTCCAATTTAAAATTTTGCTTTCCATTCCAGCCTAAAGATATAAATAAAGCTCAAGGGTGCAGCAGTGGTGTGATGGTGAGCCTGAGGTGTGAGCTGCAGAAATGCCCAAGTCATCAAAGCTTCTCTGCGTGGAGTCTTTGCTCCCTATTTTATTTTCATTTCTGCTTTCAGTGAATATTTAGTGAGCTCTGATTACATAATTGAATTTGATAAACTGATGGTATGTGATTGATGAGAAAGTCAGGAATAAAAGATTAGAAGATAAAATTACTTCAAGGGTTTAAGTAAATCTTCCAGAGAGCTGGGGTAATTTATAAAGCATGCTATACTCTTTATAAAAATAGTCCCCTAGGTCTATTAAATTTTAGCTTCTAACAGAACTGGATTGAATTTGGAGGATCATTTTCATGTAACACCAGCTTGATTGTGATGCTTTAAATAGGAGATGGCTCTGAGTGGGCTGCAGTATCACTGGGTTTGGAATATTTGAGTAGGAAATGTAGGACTCAGTGACAGACCTGTGGGCAGCAGTCTTTGTCTTCCAAATAAATCGTTGTTTTTTCTTGGAAAGACCTAAGTTAGAAGGAGTAAGTGGATAATTCAGAGTGAAGTAATGAAGGAGGTTATGCTGCTGAGTCTGTAAATCACTGAAAACCAGGATCAACAAATGACTCGGGCAGGGGTTTATAGAGCAGACACCAGTTTCACGGTGATCTCCTTCAATGACTCAACTTTCTTCAGGGAGGAATAGTTTAGGAAGCTCATTCCATGAGCAGGTAAATGTTGTTCTCAGGGGACTTGGCACTAATGATTTCCATGTACCAGTTGGTCTCTGTTACAAACCCTTCCCCTGAATACCAGCACTGCTCCCAGCTGCTGCCTTTCCATCTCCAGAGGAAGCCTGACACCTTTAATCTTTTAAGGGTAGAATGTCTGTCTTGGAACTCTCTTGTGAGACTCCCCAAAATATCTGTGAAGCCTTTGACAAGGTTTAACATTTTCTCACTTGTTTAGAAATAGCTTTACAAAAATTTGCTCTTCGCTCTGGATAAAATAACTGCATTTCACATGAACATCCTCTGGCTCCAGCTTAAATTTTAATTTATAACGTTTAAGATATTGGTTGATTTTACTGGTTAGGAGAAAATGAGAGTTGAGATAAGATGACTCCACAATAATTGCAGTCATTAAAACAAGAAGCTTTGCACAATATATTCTCAGTCATGTAATAGAGTGAAGAAGTGTAAAAACTATCCTTGGCTTGCCTGGGAATATCTGCTAGTTTGGAACTGTTCCGATTTTCTCATATGTTGAATTTTTGTATCTTCCTGTATAGCCAATTTAAAGAAGATATTGCTGATCTGCACTCGTCATATATCAGTTTGTTTGAAAAACAGGTTCTTTAAAGTGCTACAAATCAGAAAAGTCCCTTCCCTCAAAATGCAGTTTTTAATTCAGTTTGCAAGAACAGATTTTGTGTGATAGTTTCTAAGTATTGCTTTAGGATTATATGTGCTTTTTTTTTTTTTCCTGCGTAAATGGCTGCGTTTCTTAAGTTCTAAAAACTTAGGATGCAGTTTGTCAATACAAATAACCAGACGTGTAGGGAGCTGCTGTTTGATTTATGGTCAACTGCAGGAGATATTTTGGCGACAGTCAGCCTGGGGCTCCCTGACCACGCTCAGCTGGAGTCCAGCTGCTGCCCTGGGACATTGTCTGTGCTTCCATGTGCTCTGTGAAGTAATAAAAATTCCCTGATAAGAGGCCAAGTGAAAGATAAGGGCTCAGAGAAGTTGACATCACCAGGCTGGGCTGCAAACCCAGAACACCGGAGCCCCTGGAAAATCACCAACAGCCCTTGCCCTGAGCTCTTCTTGCCCAGTCCATGTGCTTGGTGCCTTGGGGCCATCACCTGTTAAAGATTACAGGGTGTGACCTCTGGATTCAAGAATTTCAGCCAGCCTTGAATAGTACATGAGGTCACTTCCCTATAAACTGTAAAAAAAAAATAAATCTTGAAGTCTTTAAATAGCAAGTATAAAAATGCCTAAGCTTATCTAAGATAAATTTTAAATGAAAGGTTAGCAGTTTAACTGAACCATTACTTGCACTGGGACAACATTTGTATATCTTGGGGTTTTTTGGTATTTTATATATAAAGTACACACCCTGCACTCTTAAAAGCAGATTTCAGTATCATCTGGTCATATTTTGGATTAAATCTCTGACTTTGAATATAACTTGTGAGTTTTATATATAGGCATAAACTCCCTGGAACTGTTTAAGGCCAGGTTGGATGGAGCTCTGAGCAACCTGGTCCAGTGGAAAGTGTCCCTGTCCATGGCAGAGGGTGGAACTGGATGATCTTTAAGATCCCTTCCAACCCAGGCTATTCTATTGTTCAATGTTAATTTTGGTTATAGAAGGTATTTGTACACTTCTAAGATTAAGCCTTTAGTTACGAGTAGAAATTTGACACATGAAGTGTGAAAAACTTCATCTTCCAGAGGTGACTGGGGTGGATCTCCAGCAGGTGTGGACTCAGAATAAATCTGTGTTTGAGTAGAGATTTGGCCATTTACTCATCAAGGATTTTGCTGCTTTGGAGTATTTTGAGTATCTGTGATACACAAGAGATTGAGACTACATGTGACCCTTGCATATTATTGAAGAACCCTAATTCAAAATCTGTTAGTGGCTTCAGGTAATATAATTTAACACATTTCGACTGGCAAGAATGTTGGAAAACACATTAAACTTGTGATTTTGTGAGGTGTTTTTTTTTCTAACTTCTTTTCCCTATCAAAATTCTTTATTTACCCTGAGACTTCTCCTGCTGTGATAATCATTTCTATCCAAGATTACTCTTCTGGTTTCTATTCAAGAAATGAAAAAAAAAAAAGCTTCGAGTGGATTTAATCCTCACAGAGGAGGGGGGGGGAAGCCAATAGGGCTGATCACTGCCTGCCACAGCAGACAATGCTGGAATTCTCATAGGGGTGAACACTAAACATGGACAAAAGCTTGTCTGAGTGGGCAAGGACTAAGGTTATAAAGATCTTGGGGATTCTGCCTCTGAAATAAAGCTTAGTTATGATGTATCAATGCAAGCCTGAACGGAATCGTGTTGTTTCTTATTTCACTATGTCCATTTTGAAAAGAAATGAGCTAAATATCAGTGGTGTATCCCCTGTTTTCTTCAGTAGCCTCCAAAGCCATTTTTCCCTTTGTGTTTCAGATGATGTTGCACCATACTTCAAGACAGAACCAGGCCTGCCCCAGATACACCTGGAAGGGAACCGGCTGGTCCTGACGTGCCTTGCCGAAGGCAGCTGGCCCTTGGAATTCAAGTGGTTACACAACGACAGCGAAATCACCTCCTACTCCAGTGAATATAAGTAAATGATCTATATAATCACCTTCTCTAAGTGTAATTGCAAAAAAAAAAACCTACCCAAAACAAATTCCACTCCCCCAGTTCCTCAGTACCTCAAGGAGCTTTGTAGAGGCAGACAGGTAGACATTGGTTTTTTTATTATGAAAGAACACTGGGTTTAGTAAACAGGTGAGATCTCTGTGAGAGAATCTCCTTTGCTAAGAGTGCTTAATGCTTCAAAACATAGGTCTTAACACAGAATTTTTGAGTACCAAAAATGCTTTTTGCTGGAGATGGAACCTTACCTGTATTTGTATAAAAAGGAGACATATTCCTCAGCTCAATGTTCCTCATGATGTGACTCCTCCTGGAGGGGAGCTGAGCTCAGTGGGACTGTTCTTTGCAGTCAGATCCAGAAGAATGTGGTCTGTCTTAAATTCCACACAAACCTTTCTGTTTCACTGCTAAGAATGCCAAAATTAAGCTGATAGTTTAACAAACTGTTCTTTAATGATTATGCACTTTTCCCCCGGGACCTCCCCGACTCCCTCCCCATCCCACAGACTTTCCATCAAACAGGAGAAAAACCATGGAGTGGCTTATCAGAGCTACATTTGTGCTGATAGGTAGCACATGACTGGCCAAGTATCAAAATGTCAAACAGCCAATTTTGTCTGCTTTTCTTTAATGTGGGAGTATTAACTGGGTCTTCTCTGTGCAGTTGGCAATTTTCGTAACTTTAGAGAATTTAATGTTTATGCAGCTTGCTTGTTGCTTTCAAATTTTGTAGAAATTACCTGGTGAATTCAGAAGTTATGAGGGGTGGGTTTGTGCCAAACAGAGCCCTTATATAACCTGGTACCTTTAGCAAACCGAGCTAAATACTGCATTTTGGGGATTACATGAGTTTAGGCAGAGAAAAGTTGTGCTCCATCATTATAGATAGAAATTACAGTAAAATTCAGTATAAAAATGCAGGTTATGATATGAAGTTATATATTGGTCCACGAGGTAGTCCATAATTACTTACCTTAAATATTTCCAAAATTGTAAGCTAATATTTTTTATATTATTTACATTTACTGAGCAAAGAGGAAAAAAGTCCCTTAAATGACTTTTTTAAACTTTTGGGGGTGATTTAGAACATTTAGCATAAAGTATTTACCAAATGCTTCCAACCACACATATAGTTATATGTGAGGTTTCCTAGAAGTGCAAGACTTTTGATTTAGGTGAGCCCACCTAGTCCTGTTTTCAAGCCTTGAGATGCCCTGCTACCTCAAAATGAGCCAGATGAACATATAGGGGAGATTTGTGAACACTTTCTGGAAAATAAAAAGAATCTCTAATAGCACAACAAATCACAGAATGTTTGAGCATCACTTTGTGTAAACGCCACTTGTTTTGATCAACAACAGCAGAGTCAGTTGTAGCTGCTCAGCAGAAGGAGCTGAAAACAGCTTTTAATGCATAAGGTGCTGAGAAAGTGGGATAAGAAATGGTGTGGGAGGACAAACAACATGAACATGGAATCAACAACAAGCAAAGGTTAGAACTCAAGCCTTGTAGATGTGCTTGTCACTGGGAGACTGACATTTCATGATATTAGGAGAAACCTGAATAAGAACGTGTGACATTTTGAAATAAGAGCAGAATGCCATGGTATTTCTTAACCAAGTGGACACCCTAATACAAAATGAGAATTTTACTGTGTATTGCAGTGTGAGTTAGGATCTTGGAACACCTTTGCCAAACTCTGTTTATACACACCTGCAATCAATCCTTTGTTTCTCATAATTGCATTTAATTTAGTCTAGTGAATGTCAGGTCATGATTCAAGCTATATTTAATAATTCTGCATTTTTTTATATTGTGCTTAGTTGTATTTCTAATTAAAACATCTGATGCAGAGGTGATTTAGAAGATAGGAAACTACTGGTTTATAATAATAAAACATTGATAGAAAATACTAATTTAGAAGTTGAAGCCCTACTGCTATTACTACACCACAGTCAGACATAAACCAAACAGGATTTTGATTATATAGAAATGCAAAGCTTTAAGCTTCCACAAAAAGATTATATGGCATAGGTGCATAAGGATGAATGAAAGCAAGGAAAAGATATGCTTAGACATAAAAATTCCAGTTGCAGAATTTAAACTTTGACCCCATAATAGTTTGCTCTGCAGTTCTCATGGGTAAATAGTCTGTTTAAATGCACGAATCTTCCTGAGTAAGTGACTTCTGCTGCAATTTGAATCATCAATCAAAGAGTTTTGGTAATTGATATTACTTAGTGAGCCTCGGTTAAAGTAATGTCTATATTGTAACAGGCTGAAAATATATTATTATAACACCCCAAGTGAGTAAAGAACTAATTGGAGTCTTTGCATTTTGACCTCAGTGACCCTGAATGAACAGCTTTTCTTTGTCTAACGAAGCTGATTATGTGCAAAGCCTGGCTCTTACAGTGACTGTGCATACACTGGGCTGGATTAAGAATTTATAAAACAACCTTATAAATTCTTTGTGATCTGAGATACACATAATGGAAACAAATCAGTGGTGCTGACTGCAGTGGCAATTCTGCTTATGTCTAGAAGTTAAGAGGCTTTAAAGTTCAGGCAGTGACCTTTTTCTTTTTTGGTTCCTCCCCCACCTTGTTTTCTTTCGAATTGAGTTTGGGACCAGGTGTATCTCCCATATTTGCTTTTGTGGCCTGAAATTTATATTAATTTAAGAAACTAAGATTAGGTCTCAGCAGCCATCTAATATTTCAAATTACTTTAAAGAATCTGATTACTCTATTTGTGTTTTTTAGCATTGGACACATTTTAATTTTATTCTGCATAAAAAAAGTGAGATCAGTTGATGCATAAGTCCCTTGTTAAAAAGTTTGAATAGATAATAAGTTACATGACTATCTAATAAAATACATTTGCTTTTAATTCTGTGTTCATAATTACGACTATTAAATCCTGTAGCCTATAGGTTTGCTTTTAACTCTTGGTGCATTTGAAATTCAAATGAGGGTTTAAATTTTAAATTAGGGAGGAAATATAAGTGTTAGTGCATTTCTCCTTGGGTGTCTGATAGCACTCCATCCTTAAACTGACTCCTGGCAGTGTGGTGATGGAGCATGTTCCGCTCTGCAAGGCTTCCCTCAGAGCTCCCTTTCCGCTTGTCGCTTTACATCTTTCCATAGAAACTTTCCAAGCACCAGTTTCTGGTTGGCTGTTCCACTCAAAATGAAGAAATTGTCGACTCTGACTTTCTAAAGTCCTTGCAGAGATCCCCAGAAACCTTAAGTAGCCTCCTGGCATCTATACAATGGGAAGATCTTCTTGCAAGTTGAGAGCGTAGACAAAAATAAAGCAAAATTATGTCTTGTCACTGGAGGAAATTGTATTAACTTTTGATATAAATTCATTGTGGGGAAGAAAGTCTTATTTTGAATTTAGAAAGCACTATTTATATCCCTTCTTGAAGATCAGAAAATAAGTAGAATGGGGAAAGCATAGCACAAAAAAGCAGTATTATGACTGTTGGGTCAATAAAAAAGTATATTTTAAAAAATAAGACACGTGAGGTGCATAAAGACTGTTTAAAATTGTAAACACAGAATCAGAAATTCCATTAATATTTATCTCTTGCCCAGGTTTGTAATTTTCAAGTTAGTCTCAAATAGCATAACCATATGTCCCATCTCTTTTTTTTCACTTTTGTTATTAAGTTCTTCTAATTTTGCTTCCCTTACCTGCACATTATACCCAGTAGGTCCACTGAGAATCCAACTGCTCAGTAGGTTGGGGCTCCCTTGGAATTTCCAAGATAGATGGCATTTTCAGTGTAAATTTTTAAAAGATTTTCATTTCTTCAGGCAACATGTTAAGAATGTTTCCTGCTGAAACATTAATAAGTCAGAAAAGAAAACCAAAGTAGGACACTTCTGATCTAATTGGTTTGTTTTGTCCTGGTGACAGCAAAACTAACTCTGCATTACTGTTTTAGTATAGATGAATACTCAAAAAAGAAGCCTTTAATTTTGGCTTTATTTAATAGAAAAGCCAATGCACTAAATGTTGGCCAAGTAGGACACTGAACCTTTATGAGAGGAAGAAAACCTGCTAAGCTATAAACTGTCTAGTAAAATGAATTGTACAAATTAATTTTCAATATTTACTTGCCAGAAAATTAAATTTATTTTTTTAATAATTATGTTTTACAAAGATCATCTGCCTGGCAGAGAAGGAAATTAATCTGATTGCTGCATTTGCTGTCACTTTGCTGCCAGGGTCTCCCAGGAATCCTAAAATTTGTCCATGGTGTTGGACTCTCTTTTAATTCCCCGTGTTTGGTTGTATGACCTATTTCCTATAGTGTATTCATTGCACCATGCAGTGATTAGAGCCTGCATTTATCACACCAGATTCTTCTACCTCCTTTGTTTTTCTGGTGTCTGATCCTGCTCAGATATTAAGCTCTGCATGTGGGTGTGTGCAGTGGATCTGAGTATAAGAAGAAATGTTTTCTTTTAGTGGAATTAAATTTTGAAGATTAAAATTCAGCAGTTTTCTTTTTCCTTATCTTTCCTAAAGACTTTCATTAATCCTACCGTAATGTCTCCTGAAGGTGACTGGGGGAATATGTGCTTTTGATTAATGTTTGTTTAATGCAGGATTATCTCTATTATTCATGTGTTTTATTCCCATTAAAACTGTGCCTATCAGCTCATTTTCATGTTGAGTAATCAGATGTAGCTGAAGGAGGAAGGTGAGCATTAGTGGACTAAGTGTCTGTTTAAGCACAGTGAAGGGCAGAACAAACACAACATACAGCACACGGTGTCATTTCCAAAATTCCTCTGAATTACAGTGGAATAATCACTTTTTTTTCATTGGACAGCTTTGATGTTCCTTGCAAGTCTTCCTAATACCCACATTTAGTTTGCAGTCTTCTTGTGCCTCCTCTGAACAAATTACCAGGCTGCTTTCACCAGCCTGAGGAATGATGGTGGAAAAAACTAAGGAAAAAATTTAAGTCTATATTTCAAGAGAATTTTTGGATAGACTTGGTATTTATCACATCCAGAACTTAAGATTGAAAGATATTTCATGCATTTTGTTTTGTTTGTTTTTTGGGTTTTTTGGGTTGTTTTTTTTAAAATCTTTGTATGACAGACAATATTGTGGCCAAAGACCAGAGATGATACGAGAATGCTGCTTGTCAGAAAAAAATACAATAAGTGTTTAAGGCAATGTGTAAAACAGGCAGAAGTGCACTATAATTCTGCATTTTGTCTTGCAGGTACATCATCCCAGCTCTGCAGAGGTCTGATGCTGGATTTTATCGGTGCATTGTACGGAACAGGATGGGGGCCCTGCTGCAGAGGAGATCTGAAGTCCAAGTGGCATGTACGTTGGAATGGAAGTTCTTCTGTGACTGATTCTTTCTGTGGGGAGAGAAACAACATACCAAGAACACTTGTTAGCCTGGAAAGTTATTAGATATCACATTTAACAAGTTTTTAAATTATTACATAACTAAAAGTTTCATACTCTGGGGTGTCTCTGGGAAGCAGCTCAAAGTGGTGCAACATGAAGTCTTTAGAACAAGCTTTGAGGGGTTCAGAGCCATCAAAAGAGATCATTTGGAGGCAGCTGTAGCATGAGAAAACTATTTTACTTTTCCCTGAATACACAGGGATTAAGCAAGGCCATACAGCACAAAACTATCAATCAAAACACTACCACCAAAAAAGCCCAGAGGACAGCAGCAGATACCTGAGAGAGAATGATGTGGTGGAGATAACACCAGGAAGCTTTCAGATCATAATCCCTGTGATACAAAATCAGCAGTTTCACAACAATACTTTAAAAGTCTGTTCTCAACACCTTCCTGAAGCAAACCCTCCAGTGTTTGCACCACTTCACTTTGGACTGTGCAGAATTTTTGCAATCCAGCTGCCATTAGGAAAGGTTAAGTTGGTTTTCTCAGGAGTTAGTACCAGGGAACATGACATAAGAAATGATCACATACTCTTAATTTTCTGTTTTTCAGTTAATGTGTAGAAAATATAATCCAAATAACATCTTTGGAATTAGCAATAAAATTAGGCCTTATTCTTTTTTCATAGTAAAAGCATAAAAAAAATTCAAAATAGACAGATTTGCATGCTGTGCCTAAGAAGTCTGATAAATGGATCAGATTTCTTCTCCTCAGGGTCAGTAACTGGAAATTCAGTTGCAGTAAATGTCACTTGATAAGTGGAATTTAGAGAAATTGAATTATTTATTAGAAACCCAATTTGAAGGAACTGATTCAAGTTAATCAGTATGTCAATGAGGGAAATTACATGGAATTTCCTGTGTTTTAAAATAAAACCAGCTGCAAATGGTATTATGTAAGTTTTGGTATCATGTTCATCAGTTTACTGAATTACAGTAGATTATGTTACTATCTCTGTAATGTCAGTAATACCAGTAATTTGATGTTTGATCTCCCTATTGTTTCAGAGCTGCTGGGAGCTAAAGTAAAAATAAACTGCTGCTAAACTGGGGGTTTCCTTCCCTGACTTCTGCCAACCCTTATGCCCCTGCTGTGCAGTGACCCTGTGCTCACCCTGATGTGTGTCAGACTCTTGCAAGTACTTTTCCAAATATTCTTCTTCAGTTTTAGTCAATTCTATCAGGTCACAGAGGATCTACTGAAAGCTGGTGTGAGTGAACATAACTCTGAGCGAGGTGTGGGGTGATGAGCAAGGTTAGCAGGGGAAGGTGAGGGTGAGATGCTCCTCGTTGTGCAGCACTGAGCCATTAGAGGAGCCTGGATGCCTCTGGAGTTGCATCTCCAGGTGTGTTTTCAGGGGACAAAGGCTTTGGCAGCAGCACCAAAGAAAAATGTACCCATTTCCTCCTCCATCGTTCCCGCTCTTGCACTGCAGTGTAGCACACAATCCCTTTAGGCCCAGCAGGAAAACTTGTTTGTGCAGCTGTGGACTGGGAAACTTCTCCAAAATTTAAAAAAAAAAGTAACAATTATTTTGTCAGGTTGTTAAAGCAGTTCTTTCCCCCCTCCTCCCCATCCAGTTCCCTACCCAGCTGCACAAGCAGTTGTACTGACAGAGCGGAGGGAGCAATTCCCAAGGAAGTACTTGTGGGAACAGTGAGAGGGAGACAACAGGAATACTTTACCTTGATGCTGCTGCTGAAGAATTCTGTCTCCTGAAAAGACAGTTTTATTCCCCTCTGAATGAGGGTAAGATTTGCAGTGAAGTGTTTTGTTTCTCCAGGCTGGTTTGTGTGTGTGGTTGGTTGTTCTGGAGAGAGAAAGAAATGCAATTGTTTGCTTTTCTTCAGTTGAAGTTCCCCATCCCCCCCTATTTAATTTGTAGTTCTGCATTGCTGAACAAGGCTAAAAAGCTCTCTCTTAAGACTCTCTGACAGAATTAAGCAATTTGTTTATTTATTTATTCATTTATTTATTTTTATTGATTGAGACATTAAGACAAAGCAAACCAGATCTTATATGGCTTGGAAGACCTTTGGTCTTGATCCTATAGTGACATATATGGCTTCTATAGTGAAATTGCCAGTCAGATTTGCACTTTATTCCTGCAGATTAAAGTGTCCCACAAGTTTTAAATATCCTCTTCCTCCTTCACCCAGGGTAGCTACTGATACCATGTGATTGTTTTCTCTGTTTTAACATTCTTGATCTAAATTGATTGAAGCTGTGTGGATGTAATGAAGTTCCTGGTATTTTGTCATACATTACTTTTTTGGTTATTCTTGAAAACATATCGGAAAGCAACATTCCAAGGGACTCCTAAAATCATCTTGTGCATTCATCAAGACTTACAGGGAGTTGTATTTTAGACATTTTGCTCCTAAGGATTCACTGGAAATGATATATTCTTGCCAGTGGATAGAGGATGCTTCCCAATACACTTCAACTCAAGATCTCAAGTGAAAAATTGAAAGGTATAATTATAATGTGCACTGGAGAAAGATCTGAGGTATTTTCCATGTCCCAGATATCTGAAGTAGCAGGGAACTTGTTCAATAATTTAAAAACTATTCTCAACACATGCTACCATATTGCTTAACTGAATGGGAACAGATATTTGAGAGAAAACTGCTGAGTAAATCTTAATTACAGAATGGGCTTTAAAACTCTTGGATTGTGAAGACTGAAATAATCATATGACAGTGAAGTTAATTAGATCCACCTACGCGGTTTGAAACTTCTTTTCAAGTAGCTGATCTGATTACAGTTGTGAGGAATATGGAGCAACAGAGGAAGTACAATGCTGATTATCTCTGAATAAATAACTTGAAAATCACAAAGATGATTAAAGCTTCTTTAAAATACCATGTGTTTTTAATTTCTGCTCTTGTTCTGTCTCTTCTCATCTCCTGCCACTCACAGACCTGACAGCAAGTCTTCTCTTTCCTAAGTCCTTTACATCCCTCTCTGCTGCACAGAACTTGGAGAGAACCCTGTGGTCCTTAAAAAAAAAAAAGAAGGGAATTCACTGACAGAAGCCAGAATATTTCTCTATGTCTGTGTATGTGTGTCAGTTCCTTAGTTTAAATCAAATTAAAATGCATAGAAGTTCTTTGGAGGGTGAAGAAGTAAGAGCCTACAGCCCTGTTTATTTTAATGGCTAAGAATGAGATACAAGAGGCAAAAGAAAAACAAGAAGAAAACATTCTCTGAATTTTTTCAGGGACTCCCCAGATATGTGAACTTGCCTGTGAAATAAACCCTTCAGAGGCAGAGGTTCAGCAATGGTAGATTCCTTTCTTCCATTAAAATTTTTGCTAAAAGCTGCTCTCTGAGACCAGGGATGCTTTTGTAAATGTTGGAGATCCACAGGCACTACTGAAATCATAGTGTAGTGCCAGAACTGACAGCTCCCAACATGACTGTGGCCTTGTTATTTTGGAATCCATCTGGATGTAGTGGCTCCCTTGCATAGGTCTGACTATCCATTGCCTTGACTACAATGATAGAGCTGCTTGTCTGTTTGTGTAGCAATGGATTAAAAAAAAAAAAGGTGACCAAAAAATTGATAAATTCATATACACCACGAGCATTCCTTTGCATTGCAGGAACTTATCTAAAAAAAACCCCAACAATCCAAACCAAACAAACCTCCATTAAAATGTCACTTCCAGTTAAAACCACTCAGTTATTGCCACAGAGCACCAGGGCCATTCAGGACTGCTGATGGATGCTCCAGCAGCACTTGGGTTTCCTCCATGCCTCATGTTCATCTGACTCTGTATAAATCAACATCAGAACTGTCCCATGATCTCTTGTGTCCTGTTGACTAATTACAGCAGTGCCAGTGGCTGCTGGAAACACGGTTGTTTCTCTGTCCTCTGAAAAGAAATGGGGGGGAGAGACAAGAACTTCCAGGACTCTGAGCATCATTTTTTAATTTGCAGACATGGGGAATTTCATGGACACGGACCAGAGGAAAACAGTGACTGAAGGACAAGCTGCAGTTCTGAACTTCCCACGCATCCTGAGCCATCCAAGACCCCAAGTGACGTGGTTTAGAGACGGGCACAAGATTATACCAAGCAGCAGAATGTAAGTTGATTTAAAGCTCAGAATGCACCCACCCTAAAATATGATTAATTGTATTTGATAACACAACTTACATTTTAAGTACACTAATTAAGGTTTAAAGAGAATGAAGTAGCCTTGTTCATACTGAGTTGGAGATAAATTACTATTTTAAGACCATCTCTGAACTTCTGAAGCAGTTTGACAAAATAATTCATGTGGTTTTAATGGTCCTGGTGCAGCATAAGGGGCTGGATATGCAGAATGTCTGTGCTTCCTTCACGCTATTCATTTTCAGGATACATTTTGGAAAAGGAAATGCTCATCTCTCAATTACATTTACTTGAGTGGACTAACTTAATGAATACTGAGATTTTTCTTTTTTAATCTATGAATCCATGGAGGACTTTTTACAGATTTATACCTAGTTCTGTTTTCCTCCCTATAAAATTCTAAATATTGTTTATTTTTTGGGGGTTTTTTAGCCTACAATGACAATTGTAGTTCTTTTTGACTAATTAGCAGCTCACCCACTAATGACACAGTACTTGCACTTTGATTAGATATTATCTCAAGGTGTGCTCATTTATCCTTTCCTGAAACAGTTATGAAGCCATCCCGTGTTTTCATCTGCACAGGGACTGAAGGGATTGGCTGTAACATTAAAAAATGTAGATTAAATCTTGTCTCATTTATTGGAAAACTGTTGAAATACTAGGAATGTTGCTGGTTATTTCTCTGTTATATTTTCATGTGTTCAAAGGGATAGATGTGCTAGCAGATGATTGTAATGGGATATTGCTGTGTTCCAGGAGTGCTGAGTCTTTAGAGTTTATATTAAAAAGGGAAAAATATTCTTGAATTTGAATTTTGTTAATCTGCGCAGTGTATTTTACTGTTGCTTATGTGCATTTTTTAAACCTGAAAGCTGGTATTACAGGCACTTTAAAACTGTGAAAATTAGTATTGCAGGGATGTGAAGAAACTGTGTAATAATTTATGAATAATTTAATAGTAATTTGATGGGAAACAGCTGGAAGATGAAACAATGGGTTCCTGGGCAATCTCTTGAAGAGAGCTAAGTGACAAATCCTGAGTTATTAACCATTAAGAATCTACTTCCTCCACTTGTGCCACATCACAAATTTTCTTTTGTCAATGCTGAGAATACACAAATCAACTCACAGATGGTGACAAAGCCTTGTTATCCCGGTATCCGAGAGTTTCTTGGGAACCCTTACAGGGGAACAGAGCAGAGTGACCAAGGCAGGCACGTGGTGTCTGAAAATGAGATTTGCCTGAGTTCTCTTACAGTTTGGGAAAATTGCAAGTAGAGAAATGTATGTCCTGTGTTTGTTGATATAAATATCCTATTTTTCATCTGCTGTGCTTTACTCTTATTCCTGCCCTGTTGGGATTGTTGGGGTAGAATCATTGAAACTCATGGAGCGTGGAAATACTCACAAATGGGAGAACTCTAACATTGCTCTGTAGCAGGGCTTCCATATAAATTTTATTTCCCTGGTCAGAAATTTTGTCTAGAAGGAACTTGAAGACATTTGTCTGGCCTGTGTAGGAATTCCTAAGTACTTCTGCAGTGGAAGTGCCCGTGCTGAAAGTGTGAGCCTCGTTGGAAGTTTGATGTATGTCAGATAGTAAACCTGGTAAGTTCAGGAGGTGACAGATTTATGGTACACATACCAATCATCAGAGCACTCTGTGTGCAGTAGGTCTCAAAGTATTGGAAAAACCAGAGAGCATCCACTCACATCTTGCTGTCTATGAAATTCAGGAAGTAAATATGGCAGCCCTATAAATATGGGAAACCTGAGACACGGAGAGGATGCATAAAAAACTGAGAAATGTACAGATATCTTATGGAAAGTGTTTCTTATCTGTGGAGCAAGTTGTGCATTTAACTTGTTCTTTGCACACAAGGGGATGTATCAATTTAACTGATCAGTTTAGCCAGTGATCCAGTTAGGCTGATGCATCCATCTGACTGGATCTCCTGCTAAACTCATCAGTGACATTGATACAACCACCTTGTATGATGCTCTTTAATCTGATTAAAAGTACCTTATATTGCTAAATCAATATAAAGCTTTTTTAATGCTCTTAAACAAGCTTACAATGATTTGGCTCAATCAATCAGCCATAATATTGTGTGTCAGCTGTAACAATGATTTCTAAGTGACATCACTGTCAGCGTTCGTGGACTGAGGACATAAAAATGGGGACAGGAGTGGTGGGTTTGGTACAGTTCATTCAGATAGTTGGTAAAGTTAACTCTTACTCATGCAAAAACCTTAATGTGAACATTTTTATGCCATAAAAATGATCCTGATGCTTGTGTACACAGAGCTGCTGTCACCACTGGAAGGGATTCATTTCACTGATGTGGGAACAGAGCATGTGCTGAGTTGCCCTTATGTGAGAGAGATAAAAGATCAAAAGTAACACACACATAACAGTTCTGAGAAAAAATAAATTCGGAAGCTGTTTCAAGGAATGTCATTTAATTGGCTCTGCAGAAGGGTTTCCCTACCAGTTTTAAGGCAGTAAATGCTGATGTTGTTCTCCTTCACTACGTACAGGTATTTAGGACACTTATGGGGAGGGGTTCTGCCAGATGTTCAGCACTCCAGAAGTGGTGCATTTCTGGGGAGCCAAGATAACAGAATTGCTGAATTGTCAAAAACTATGGTATCACTGTATGCATTTTTTAAATGTTCTTTACAATATGTCAAATAAGACTTCTATTTTTCTTTGTGTTTTCTTGTAATTATTATACATGTTAACACAGTCGCCACTTCTGTCAGATCATAGAATAGTTTGGGTTGGAAGGGACTTTTTAAAGTCACCTAGTGCCAGCCCCTGCGGTGAGCAGGGACATCTGCAACTACACCAGGTTGCTCAGAACCACGTCCAGAATGGCTTTGAATGTTCCCAGGGATGGGGCATCCACCACATCTCTGGATAACCTGTGCCAGGGCCTCACCACACTCAATCATGAAAAATTTCTTCCTTATATCTACCCTCTTTTAGTCTAAAACTATTTACCCCTTGTCCTGTCCATACATGCCTTTCTCAGTTGGGTTGGGGGGTGGAAAGCTTCAGTGGATAGCTTTGATTTCACCTTTTTTTTTAGTCAGAATGGTGACTCTTACTCTGTCAGTGTGCATGGCTGTGACATTTTCTGGGAGAAAGTTTCCTTTGAGACATTGGCAATTTTTTTCAAACTGTATATTCTATTGAATTTAACTGCCAGTGTTACTCATGATGGGATTTTGCAGCAAATAACTATGTGTTAGTTCCCATTTTAGTGGTGTTGGTAATATTTTGTTAAAGCCCCCAGATAAAACCAAGAATGGGATGACAAGTTGCTCTGAAACTAGTTGGGATGTAAAGTCAACAAATCCCTGTATAATATATGGATGTGAAGCAAACGGCCTGCACATACTCATGAGATTGTTGTTATAGTTTATGACTTAAGGCAACTAACAAAGCTGCAGCAGAGCCAGAGCGATGGGAGGGTGTGTATTTAAAAATTTAAGTCCTAAAAGTCGCTGTCGTCGTCCCACCATCACTTAGTACAGTGTGGGTATATATTCATTTTGGCTTTTATGCATTTTCTGTCACCAAAGCTTCAGCTTGATATTGTGAAGGGCTGTTTCTAGAAGGAATCTGGGTACATGCTATAAAGGTGTGGAGGATCAGAGAGAAGACCAAAAGATCAAGAACAAGAGAAAATGAGCAAGGAGTGGAATTAGGGTTTGACAAGCTTATTATTATTTTACATTCCTCAAGAAATTTTAGAAAAGACTTTGCATTACACATGCAGAGATTAATGTTTGCCAAATGCACTGTTAAACCAGTGTGGAATTACAGCTGCACTGTTATCCAGGGTCTCAACCGATGGGATGGTTTCACTGTTTCCCTGCACATCTTACCCAAACCAGCAGCCTCTCTAAAGGTGGCTGCATCAAAAGAAGTTGCTGGTCTGGGTTGTCAAGTATTCAGCTTGCCCTGCCTGGCTGTACTTCATCAGCCTGAAAAGCAGAGCACATTTAACTTGCTTTACACGGGCACGTTCAGTACCTTGGAGAGGCACAAAGGACAGTGGCACCGTCAAGGTCTGCAGTTGCCTTTCAGTTGTGGTACAGAGGAATTAAATTCTCAGTACTCTTAGAGGATTTTTTACCTTTTTCTAAGGGAAGCACTTTTCACTGACAGGGCTCACTCTGGCCATCAATTCATTTATTCTGGGTTTCTTCTCTAAGAAGAAAACTTCTATGCAGACATTGTTATCATCTTCATTAGTGTCCTTACAGGGAAACTATTTTTTCCCCTAATAAGCTGCAGCTAGATGAATATTAAGTCATGTCTTTTGTTAGTGGAATTGTGTCTGACACAAAACAGGAAAGTTCATTTTTTGGCATATAAAGGCACTCCAGGGGTGTCCCTTTTAGCTGGATGGGCATTAGTCACTTAATTAACTGTCCATGAACCAAAACACTTCACAAATGCACTTCAAAGCACTGGAAAGGGACAAGGAATTGCATTGTCTTTAGCTACACGAGTTCATATCTGGTTTTTTGCACTAAGATCAATTCATTGTGCATTTGGATGTGTTTGGTCATGAGAGTCTCTTATAGAGCCTAAAGGTGCTGACTGATTGTACAAGCAACTGTCCAATGTGACTTGCTGTGGTTTTGAACACTCAGAATGCCTTCCAAATAAGCAAAGCTGGTGCAGATTTACTGGTCGTTTGTTAAGGTAAAATTGTAAATCTCTTAATGGCAGTATCAAGAAAAAAAAAGTAGCTGTGGCTAAATAGACTTTAAAAAATAAGAAAAAAATTAAAATATCTAAGAAAAATACATCATATTTTGGGCTGGTGCTAGCATTAGATTAGGGTTTGCTTTGATGAGAGCAGCTGACTTAATGTGCCATGTATATATTTTTCACTTTAGAACAAACACTGTTTTTCTGTGAGCAGTTCTGGTGGCACAATGCATTTC